GTTAGATTGACAGTGAAGGATATATAACAACATTCGGTAACGGATCATGGAAGATAACCAAAGGAAATTTGGTTGTGGCACGAGGCTTCAAGAAGAGAACATTGTATGCAACCGCAATACAGAGAGATACTATAACAACAGTTGATCATGGTCGTGACACAAACATTGTGGCACCGGAGGCTCGGGCATAAGAGTGAGAAGGGAATGAAGTTGTTGGCATCCAAAGAAAAGCTGCCTAACCTAAAGCATGTTGAATTAGGTTTGTGCAAAGATTGCATTTACGGAAAACAAAAGAGAGTTAGTTTCTCAAAGGCGGGAAGGACGCCAAAGAAAGAGAAGCTGGAAATAGTGCATACAGATGTGTGGGGACCGGCTCCCATAACTTCTCTGGGAGGCTCAAGCTATTATGTCACCTTCATTGATGATTCCACAAGAAAGGTATGAGTTTATTTTCTGAAAAATAAATCTGATATTTTTGTTACCTTTAAAAGATGGAAAGCGGAAATTGAAAATCAGACAAGCCTAAAGTTAAAATATCTGAAGTCTGACAATGGAGGAGAGTATGATAGTTCAAAGCATTCTGCTTGGAGAAGGGGATCAGAATGATCAAGACAGTTCCTAGAACACCGGAACAAAATAGCGTTGCTGAGAGGATGAACAGAATCCTGAATGAATGAGCCAAAAGTATGAGAATACATTCTGGGTTGCCAAAATATTTTTGGGCCGAGGCAGTTCACATAGCAGCTTACCTCATAAACAAGGGACCCTTTGTACCGCTGAATTTTGAAATTCCTGAGGAGCTATGGATAGGAAAGAAGGTAACTCTCTCACATCTTAAAATCTTTGGTTGTGTTACTTATGTGCATGTAAACTCTAATGATAGAGACAAGCTTGATCCTAAAGCCAAAAAATATCTCTTTATTGGCTATGGGGAGGATAATTTTGGTTATCGATTTTGGGATGATCAGAATAGAAAGATCTTAAGACACAAGAATGTAATATTCAATGAAAATGTGATGTACAAGGACAAGTTTGGAGTAGAACCAACAAACAAACATCTAAAACAGTTGAGTTAGAAGAAATCTCAGAAAATGAAGTGGCTAAAGAGATTACAACTGATTCTGAAATTAAAGATGCAGAACCAGAAACTGAATCTGGATCAGAATCAGAGATAGAATCAAATATAGAATCAAATCTAGAGTAAGGACTTGAATCAAATTCGGGATTAGTTACTCCTAAACCTACATTAAGGAGATCTAAAAGAGTCACGAATGCTCCAGATAGGTTAACTCTCTCTTACCACTACTTACTTTTGACTGATGCTGGAGAACCAGAACATTTTGTTGAAGCAATGCAGGTGATAAACTCTTATAAGTGGAAGCTAGCCATGAAAGAAGAGATGAATTCTCTTCAAAGGAATAAAACATAGATACTTACAGAGTTACCAAAAGGAAAGAAGGCATTGCAAAACAAGTGGGTGTACAGGGTCAAGGAAGAGCATGTTGGTAAGAAAAGATACAAAGCACGATTAGTAGTAAAAGGCTTTTAGCAGAAAGAAGGAATTGACTACACCGAGATCTTCTCTCCTGTGGTCAAATTAATTACTATCAGGTTGATGCTAAATATCGTAGGTGCAAAAAATTTACATTTGGAGCAGCTAGATGTTAAAACTGCTTTCTTGCATGGTGACCTTGAAGAAGACATTTACATGAAACAACCTGAAGGTTTTCAAGTTTCTGGTAAAGAAAACCTTGTGTGTAAGTTGAAGAAGAATTTGTATGGGTTGAAACAAGCTCCCCGACAATGGTATAAGAAATTTGATAGATTCATGCATAATAATAGTTTCACACGATGTGAGATGGACCATTGCTGTTATATCAAAAATCTTTGATGAATCTTATATCATTTTACTATTGTACGTTGATGATATGCTAATTGTATGATCTAGCATAAATGAGATCAACAAGGTTAAGCAACAACTGGCGTAGGAGTTTGAAATAAAAACTTAGGACTAGCTAAGCAAATGTTTAGGATGAGGATTAGCAGAAACAAGTCAGAAGGAACCTTAAAGTTGTCTCAAGAAAAGTACATTCATAAGGTACTAAGCAAGTTCAGTCTTCCTGGTGCAAAGACCAGAAACACTCCACTCGTAAGACATCTTAATCTGTCAAACGACCAATCACCAAAGACAGATGAAAAAAAGGAAGTACATGTCCAAAGTTCCATATGCTTCAGCAGTAGAAAGTTTGATGTATGTTATAGTTTGCACTAGACCAGACATAGCCCATGCAGTTGGAGTTATTAGTAGATACATGTCAGATCCAAGAAAGGAGCATTGGGAAGGTGTAAAATGGATATTGTGATATCTCAAAGGCACCTCAGGTATGTCACTTAGTTTTAAAAAGAGCAATATTATCTTACAAGGTTTTGCTGATGTAAATTTAGGCGGCGATCTGGATAGTCGAAAAAGTACCACAGGCTACGTGTTCACCTTAGATGGTACTGTTGTTAGCTGGATGTCCAGACTTCAGAAAAGTTTTTGCTCTATCTACCACTGAAGCAGAGTACATGGCAATCTTAGAAGCTGAAAAAGAGATGATTTGGCTTAAGAATTTTCTTAAAGAGCTAGGTAAAGAGCAGGACAATTGTAAGCTTTTCAGCGATAGCCAGAGTGCAATTCATCTTGCCAAGAATCCAGTATTTCATGCAAGATCAAAGCACATACAACTGAGGTATCATCATATCCGAGAGTTGATAAGTGAAGAAACTCTTTCCCTGCAGATACCAGAATCAAAGAACCCGTCAGATATATTGACCAAACTTATCGGTGTTGACAAATTGAGGTTATGCACTGCCTCAGTTAGTCTTCAAGACTGATAATGTGAAGGCGCCACCAGAGAATAGCAAATCATTTTTTTTTTTAGTTTCTTTCTTGATGTAAGATAGGTTTTAGGAAAAAACTGATAGGAGCAAACCTTGTTGTTGTTTGTAAAAGAAAGAAAAGAGAGAAGACAAAACAAAAGTGGAAAAGTCAAAGAAAGAGAAAAAAAAATATGTGAAAAAGATAAAGAAAGAAAGGTTGTGAATGCATTAAATTCGTTTATAATTGCGATACCGTCATGCCGCATGTTCATATCTTGTTGAAGATTTCAGTTGATTCCTCTGCCTATAAAATAAGCATCCCCTTCTTCAGTTGAAATCATCCTTCAACTTCTTCTTCTTTTTTAATTAATAAAGAGTTATTCTTTGTGTGGCCGTGGAGTAGACAAAAATTGTTGAACCACATAAATCTTGTCTTGTGCAATTTATTGCTTTTCTCTTTTAAATATTTTTCCCTTCTATTAGGCTGGCACGCTTCCCATCAAGGTGCAAGGGCGGAGGTAGTGTCACAACTACGGGTTCGGTCGAACCCACTGGCTTTCGCTTAAACTTTGTATTTGTATTGAAAAAATTATTAAATATGTAAAAATATTTAATTGCGAACCGAGTAACTAAAACGAGTTAGGATTCGGTGACAAGATCAGAACCCACAACCTTAAAATACTGGCTCCGCCTCTGCTTAGGTGCGTCATAAATCAAAACCCACAAAAATAACAGTAATAAGTACAAAAATGGTTCTGTTCGTTGCTACAGCTTCAACAGTGTGACTGTATGACTTTGAAAAAAAGATGGTTTCATTTCGTATCTGAGGTCCCGACTTCCTCATAACATTAGAGGGGCATTAATTGAAATGACAAGTTTCCTATCTGAAAAGACTGAAATGTTTATGAAGCTTTAATTCTTCAAAACTCTTGACTAGAATATTGACAGCAAATATATTTCGGAGATTCGATATCAATTCTTTTTGCCGTAAATATATATAGATTGAAGTATATTGTCTAAAGCAAAAGTAAATATGTGACCTAGTAAATAAAATAAGTAATATACAATAATCAGTTAATTATTCTTATCTACGCAGTCGTATTTAATCTGAAGTTGTTTTGTTTAAAATACTACGTCTACATACTACAGTTGCATCGTACCAAGCAGTAGAGTAGTGCTTGTGATTACTTTCATAAATCAATGGAGTCACTCAGGGACGGAGCTAGAGGGGGAACGGGTTCATCTGAATCTTCTTTGTCGAAAAATCAGTATAATAAAGGTCATAATTCTTATTTATATAGAGTAGACATTATATTGAAACACCTTGATGAAAATTTTGTCTCTGCCATTGGTGTCACTAGCTAGTATTTCGCAAGACACGACTAGCTAGAGGGGCTCTAATTAAATCACGTAGTCATGGGCCTCATGTCATAACCGACCATATGAATACGTGAAATGAATTGTCACCTGAGTTTGATGCCTTTAGATTGGTCGTTTTCAATCTTCACTTTTCAACTCTTACCATTATTCCCTCAGATAGGCCAAAAATAAAAAGAACAGAGATCCTGAAATCATTAGTCAGTGATCTGCTATGTTTTCCACTTATTTAAGTCAAATGCCATGAAACCCACAAACTTCCCCCTTTGCTTTCACATTCTTTCCCTCACTTCTCGTTGTCCCTTCACTAATTCCATATGCATGCTTTCTCAAATTCAATTTTGACCTCTGCTTTTCTTCCAGCATTCATAATGACTTCTTATCTGATAATCACCTTTTTTTCTTTTCATTTCTCTATGCTTGGCTATATTCAAGTCACCCCTCCTATCACAAATCATTCGACTGTTGACTTTTTGTCGATTCATAAAAATTGAAACTTTTATCTGAAAGAAGCTCCTGGACACAATGCTGATCAATCTAGAAACAAACTTTTGACCATTCAAAACTTAATCCACACCGATATACTTGACAGTGTTAATCTGGATTTAGATGTAGTTGATTGATATGTTATATGCAATTAATCAACTTTAAACAATAGAGTACTGTTGTAGTGTTATATTTTCTATAGGCTGAGTACTCCACTTTCAGGTCAGCGACTAAGATGAGTTGAAAAAAGACTTGTGCAAAGCTGTACAAGTAAATATGGATAAATACACTTTAGCTGCTATTATTAATATTATCTCCAAAATATATGAACAAACAAACACTTCCCAACTATTATCATTCTAAGACATCAATACTCGGCTAATGTTACAGGTACATTTCCAAATGCATCGCTTAAAATGCAGGAAAGGGAGACAAACAAATGGAAATACAAAGCTTTAGGCATATCAACTAGCTTAATGATAGGAAGTCAATTGTCTCTTAGTCGTTAGAAGCTGATGTCCGAGGACTCATGCCCAAATTGGATGGCTTTGGTTCTCCATTCCTAGGACTANGTCCTCGGACTGAAAGGCCCTCTTCCGCCAGAAAGGGGACTTCTCAGTTTGCTAATCTGTGGACTGTATGCTTTTTCTGGAACGCGTGGGCTTTGAAGGAGCTTGGAATCTCTTATTGGAGTTGCTGTTGAACTTGTGATCTTCGGACTGTTAATGCGTTTGACTTCACCCCTGCTTCTGGTAATCATCTCATCTAAAATTTCCCCACTTCCTGCATAGGAAGGTCTTGAACCAAATTCACCCTCCTGCATGCTTTGACATTAGTCCTCAAGTCCTAAAATTCATGAAATTACAATCAAATATTAGTTTACTGAATAGAGAATTTACCGTAGGAAGATTGAATGGTATAGCTGGCGACTCTTCATAATCTGCTGCATCTAAATCTTGAAGGTGTACCCCTTTGAAAAACTTAGGCAATATGTATTGTCTCACAGGAACCAAAAGCATGATCAAAAGAGGGAAAAGGAGCCCCGCGATTGGAACCCACGTAATGCCAAAGCAAGCAAGCAAGTATAGTGTTTGGAATATTGTGAATGTCACTATGCTCTTGAAAGGCACAGTCTCTACAAAAGTGGCGTGATAATCCTCTAGAACTCTGCAAGCAAGATTCATCATTTTGTTAAGGAAATTCCTTAAAAAACCAATTGGAAAGATAAACTTAAAGGCATTTTTAAAAGGGTTAATTACTTGTATCTTCTGCTTGGTGCAGTGAATAGTAGCAATATTCTCTCCCAAAATTGATTGCCCGGCAAACTTTCAATGGCCATGTAAGCGAAATATCCC